AGTTATTGCTGGCGTTCTGAAAAATCGGACTATTACTTTCCATTTGAATTCTCTCCATGTATTGGAATTTGTTGTTAATTGTGCTTCAGTACATATTTCTTCCCATGTGTCCCCCCCTATCGACTCCTGCAGTTCAGTCTCCCATTTCTGCTTTATGTTTATGGAATTGTGCATATTCATAGATAAAAACAGGTCATATATTTTACTAATTACTTTTTTTATTCCCCTTTCCCCTTTGTATGTCCATTAGGAAATTTTCTATAGGTGTAGGTTCATGAAGTTTAGTCCAATTGTTGTGTGTCGTCACAAAGGTTCTGAGTTGTAAGTATCTATAGAAGTCTGTCCTAGGGAGACCAAATTCACTTTTAATCTGTTCAAAGGTTTTGAAGTTGTACACTTTGACAGTTTACATTTAGAAAACCTTTCCACTGCCAGGGTGTCATAGTGGCTATTGTCAGAATTGCTAGTACCACTTAAATAGATCCAATGGGCCTCATGCAAGAACATGTTCATATTCTTATCCTAAATTTGTCTTACTTTTGTTCGTACAAAAGGTTCGTACGAACATGCCACGTCAGATTCAACAAACTCTTCTATCTTCAGGAAAAGTGTGTAAATGAGGAGCGTAAACTGATGAATGTGTATCAGGTGCTCGTGCACGAGGAGAGGTGATTAGCATAATTATCACCACAAAAACACCACATAAGGCTATGTTTCCTGCCACACATACCAGGAAGTGTCCATTCATAAGTGACATAAGTGACATCACAAAGTAAAAAAAGAAGAACTTTACGAGTTCAGAGATTGAAGTTGCTCTTGGAGATTCACAAAAAAATGTAATTTTTAGCAGCGTCAGCTGTGGAATTAAAGGATCTGCTTTAAAGCTGAGGAATAAAATGACGACTGCTGTTAATGTCGTGTCTCTTGTGGGTTGTACAGTCACAGAAATAAAAATTTAAATCATACAGTATTTCTCTCTCTGTGTAGTCCTGCTCCGGTTTTTCTTTGGTCAAATATTTTAAATTTTAGTGTAAACAACTATGTTACATTGGTTTCACTTTTTCAGAATAGCAGTCGCCCACCGCAAGTCCCCCGCAAGTGTCCGATGCATTTCTGAAAAAAAGCATTTCAAAATGTCTCAAAACTTCAGTTTCATATTAATATTGTAGTGCTATACAACAAAATTAATAGCCAATTTATTTTACTTTAACCAATTTATGTCGTTAGTATACATTATTACATTTAAAATTATAATTCTAATTCAAACTGAATAACCTACTGTCAACATAATTATAGAGTGTGATTTATTTTCAATTCGAAATATCTTCAAACTAATGAAATATAAAGTTATTAATGAGAAAAATCTGTCTGGATAACAGCAGACTGACTGCTCGTAAAATATACGACAGGTCTGGACCACTCGTGAATTTTGTTCCTATCTGAAAAAAATCTTAGAATACGAGAAAATTGGTGAATGCCACAAATTCTTCTAAACCACTCGTACGCACAACTTTAGAACAAATCTGTTCACATGAACGGTTCTTGCATGAGGCCCAATGTTGCTACTTCGAGCTCAATGGGGGCAGGCAAGTGGGGCAGAGGGTGTTTCTAATTTGTTTGTTAAATATCTGTTTTCAATTGGTTCATTGATGTTGGTTGTTTTAATTTTTACTGGTGGTATTGGACTACATATAAAAATTAGCCCAATACTAAATCCGATGCAATGCATTCACCTTTACACCATTTTGAAATTAAAAAATGACTGGTCACATTTATCAAAAAATGGTTGAGTACTGTGTGCTTGGAGGAAAAAAAAGTAACCATAAGCTCCCTAGGGAGGTTTTCCAGGCATGTCCAACTGAGAGGAGACCACAGGGAAGACCAAGGACATCCTGGAGAGGCTAAGGCTACGTTCACACTGCAGGTCTTAACGCTCAGTTCTGATTTTTTGAAAAAATCCGATCTTTTTGTGTGAACGTTCATATTACATTTTAAATGTGACCTGTATCAGACCCCTGTGTGAACGCTACACAGCACTGATGTGACACGCATGCACAGTAAACGACGTGACGTCTCATCAGCCGGCTTGTTTGTTTACAGGGCTAGCATGGATGCTACATTTTGCAAATTGAATCGGAAGTTGTTGTTTAATCAGAGCCGATTAAATAATTATCTGACCTGCTTCTTTAGTTCAGTGTTTATATCTGAACCTGCTTCTGACCGGGATGCTCCAGTGAAGGTTTTTTTTTTAACGAAACTACGAGCTGGAAAAAGTATCGACCGAGTAGCTAACTTTAGGATCGATACTCTCCGCGACCCAGGCTGGACATCATTATTATCATACTATCTACGTGGAAAACGAAAAGTAAAAAGATGAAGCAACTGGACTTGTGTTTTGGAGCTGTAAACACATGGAGCTACAGATTTAAACAGCGAGACTTGAGGTTCGTGTCTTATCGATCCTTCAGCCCCTCCTCACTGATGAAAAAGTCAGATAAAATGTGACCTGAGCGTTCACACTGCAGTCACTTTAAAAACATCAGAAATATATCTGATTTAAAATTACATACTGAAACGGCCTGGGTCGGTTTAGAAAAAATTGGATTTGTCGCATTCAGACTGTCATAAAAAAATTGGATATGAGTCAGATGGGTCAAAAAAATCGGATTTGGGTCGGATTTGCCTGCAGTGTGAACGTAGCCTATGTCTCTCAGCTGGCCTGGGAATGCCTTAGAGTTGTCCCAGAAGAGCTGGAAGAGATGACTGAGCTGCTGCCTCTGAATCCTGACTTTGGAATAATCGGGAGGTAATGGATGGAAAGTGATTTACCTTCTATTTTTCTTACACCTTCCAAATGTGTATATACACAAATATCAAGTTAAGTCTACAGTTTTTCCAAAAACACTTTGATAGTATAATCCTAAATGTCAAAATGTTAGATCTAAAGTTGATCTTTTGAAATCATCTTCCATTAAAGTCTTTAAAGGGGCAATATCATGTAAAATCAACTTTTTTGAGTTTTGTATCATGTTATAATGTTATATTCTCATAAAAACATGTCCAAAGCCTTGCTTTGACTCATTCACGCATGTTTGAGAAATCCTGCAACGTTTTTAGGAAGACATGCTGAGGAGCAAAACGACAAGTGGGGACCAGAAACACCTTTTGGGACCAGAAACGCCCCTGGGACGTATCTTTAAGCTGAACTTCCTCATGGCAGAGCCCCCTCCCCCCTCCCATGACTCCTGCAGGCTCTTGGGTCAAAGTGAAAGTGAAACTTAAACTGTCTGCTGAACTCTCAACATTAGTTCTCACTCAATGAAGCTCTTTTCAGATTCAAAATACCTTTGAGGAAATGTATTTTCAGATGCCAAGTAAACTACATCATAGCGCACCCCCCCCCTACAAACACACTGAAATGGGTGAGACAGAAGCGGAAGGTGGTTCTTAAAGAGACAGAGGCCAATTTCAAGGCATTTAGAAGAGGAAATGATGAGGAGATAAGTTTATTTTC